GGGGACGCGGTCCAGATTTTTCCCCCTAAGAATGTCACGGACGCCGAGCTCGCTGACCGCTCGTGCATCCGCTCTCCTGACAAAGTTCGAGTCTTGGGGCTTCGGAATTGCGACCTCAAGATCATCTCCGCGGTGGTCAACCACGCCACCTGGCCTGCTCTGCAGGCCCTGGCTCCGCCTTGCCAGCGCGGATTTGTTCCTGGTCGAAACTTCGGGGTCAACATTCTCGAGCTAGACGCCGTCGGCAGGATGCTGTCAGTCACGCCCCACGCCTCCCGCGACATCCCTGTCCTGTTCTCCCTCGATTTCGGCCAGGCCTTCCCCTCCCTCAACCAGGACTTCCTGATGCGCTGCCTCTGTCTCATGGGCCTCCCTGGGCCCCTCGTGCAGTTCGTCGCGTCCATCTACTCGTCAATCGAAGGGGTCACGCTCCACAAGGGGCATCTCGAGCACGTGTTCTGGATTCAGAGCGGGGCCATTCAAGGTTGTCCCCTCTCTGGCACCCTGCGCGCCCTCGGCGCTGCCGCGTTCCTCGTGGACCTAGCTGAGAAGGTGGAGGGCCCTCAGATCGGCCTCATCAGAGCCTACGCTGATGATATCGGTGGCGCCCTGAGATCCGCCCAGGCCCTCTCGGAGGTCTCCCAGGTCATGCCCTGCGCGTCGGCCATGGCTAACTTGGACTTCAAAGCTGCGAAGTGCAAGGTGGCCCCCCTTTTTCTGGACCCTTCTCCGTGGAGCTCGCCAGGGACGTTCGGGATATTATTTCGAGGCAGGTCCCCGAGTGGATCGGGTTCGAGATCGCCCCACCGCTGTTGTATCTAGGCCTCTGGCTTGGCCCTGCCGTCTCCCCCACAACGTCATGGGACGCACCTCCGTCGAAGCTCCGTTTGAGGGCTCAAGCTACTGGACGTAGCACCACCCCTGCCAGTCACTCCGCCATCCTCTACAACACGAGGGCGGTCACTACACTCTCTTACGTCGCTCAGTTCTGCTGGCCGCCGAAGTCCGTTCTCCAGCCGGAGCTCCCGGTGCTCGCGCAGGTGTTCAGGCTCCCGCTAGGTGCGCTGCACCTCGACGCGTGGTCTCAGCTCGACCGCTGGGGCGGCCCGCGCTGCATCCGCTGGGGCGACCTCACGACTGCCACCATCACCCGTGCCGCCACGCTCACCTTCCAGTGTTGGGCTCACCTGCTTGCTCGACTTCGTGCACACGCTGATGAGCACCCTGAATGGGCCACGCTCGACATGCTCGCCACGGGCCCCCCTACCCCAACTTCTGGAAGGCGCCCGCGTTCGTCGAGAATCTGGAAGCTGCTGCTAATGGTCGCCCACCTCCTGGTCCGCTTGCCGCGTTCGGATCCACCCCGCTCGCGGCTGCCCTTGCTGCGCTGGAACACGGTGGCCGCGCCCTACGTGGAGTGGGACGCTTGCCAAGCTGTCCTTCGAAGGTGTCCGTGTTCGTGGGCCTGGGCGGTGATCCGCTCGTGGACCGACGGTTGGATCACCTCCGCACGCATCATCTCTCCGCATGGGAAGCGCCCCTCCGCGTTTGGCTGCATGGGCAAGAACGACGCGCTCAAGCACTACGCCCGATGCCCTGTCTTGTGGTCGGCTCTTCGGCGCGCCCTGGCCCGTCCCTTCGCCCTCGACTTCCCGTCCAGATGGGGTCTGCGCCGCCCATCGTGCCAATCCTACTCCGTGCTCGCGGCTGCCTACAACATGTACAAGGAGGCCCGCTTGGGTGACTCGTGGCCGCTTTCCCCTGCCGCCATTCGGAGCTGTGCAGTCGCTGGGGTGAGAGCGATGATGCTGGCCACACCTCAAGCCATGTCGGTGACAGAAAGAAAGCAGCTCGCCCGCAGGGATTACCTCATCCGCTCGCCGCAGCCGAGCTCCTCCGACTCCAGCAGGTCTCCGCCCACCTCCCCGAGGCTCACGCTTGCTGTCTCTACCGCCAGTCCCTCACCGCCCCCATCATCGCGCGGGCCCCCCGCTTCCTCGTCGGCGGCGCCATCGGCCCCCGATTCCGACTGTGGCACGACCAGCACGCCACGATCAACCTCTCGGCATGCTTCCCGCGGCTCGCCATCATCCTCCTCAGGTCCGCCGAGTCGCATGCCCAGAGCCGAGGGCTTGCGGGTTGTGCGCCTGGCTCCTTCGCGCCATCCCGCGGTCGCCGCCCCGTCGGGCGCCCGCTTCCCGCGACCGTCCCCCAGGGTCCCATTCGCGCCATCTCGCCGCGGCTGGTCCCGCCCTGGCTTAGCTGCACCATCGCGCCCGCTGAGTTCGGCTGCCCCATGCGCACCTACGGCTTCGACCTCGCCCAGGGCACGCCCTCCAGCTTCGCCATTGTCGCGCTGTCCTTGTGCGATGCCGTCCTCGCCTATGCCGTTGCCGACTCCAGCTTCATGCTGTGCATGGGTGACGCCGTCCTCGCCTGTGTCTGCGCGTGCTTCGCGAAGGGCGTCTTCTGCTTCTGTGACGCCGTCCCCGCCAATGTCGTTGCCGACTCCAGTTTCGTGCGGCGCATCAGTGGCGCCGTCTTCGACTGTGACTCCGCGTGCGTCGCGGCGTGCATCCTCCGCGTTAGTGGCGTTGTCGCCGTCGGTTTTGAGATGTGGGCGGGTGGCACCTTCTCTGCAGCGGGCATGGTCGGCTTCCTCCTCCTGGTGTGCTTCTGCGACGCCGTCGACGCCAGTGTCTGCGTGGGCACCGCTGCGGGCGGCCTCCTGGACATCGGTTGCGCTGTCTTCATCTCTTTCGAGCGGTGCTTCGGCGACGCCCTCCTCACCAGTGGCGCTCGCGGCTCCGACCTCGCGCTGTGCTCCGATGGCGCCGTCCTCGCCGATTGCGTTGTCGACAGGATCCTCCCCGTCCTCGTCGCCACTTCTCGGCGTTAGGGCGCAAGTCCCGTTGTCGCGTTCGGGCTCACCGTCGCCTGCTGTCGGACGCCTCGCCTTCCCACCTGGGGATGATGGCGTCAGTGCGCAAGTACCGTTGTCGCGCGCGGGCATCGCGTCGCCACGGCGCAGACCCCTGGGCGGAGCCCTCCGAGCCCAAGGCGTTAGAGCGCAAGTCCCGTTGTCGTGTTCGGGCTCGCCGTCGCCACCCGTGCTTTGCCGTGATATCGGACTCCCGTCCGACGGCGTTAGATCGCAAGTCCCGTTGTCGTGTTCGGGCTCGCCGTCGCCACTTGAGCTTTGCCGTGATCTTGGACCTGCGCCCGACGGCGTTAGATCGCAAGTCCCGTTGTCGCGTTCGGGCTCGCCGTCGCCACGTGCCGATGTGCCTCCTACAGTGGCGGCGCTCACCCGAGGCTGGACATCAATTGAGCCCTCTCCGCCGATTTCGCGCTCGCCGACGTTGACCCCGTCGGCTCCAGTGGCGCGGCCTGAGCCCTGCCTGCTGCGCCCCCCCCCCCCCCCCCCCCTGCCCCTCCACACGCGTCGCCGAAGCATCTTCACCACGGTCCCCAGAGCACTCGCGGGCCCGCCTCGTTGTCCCAGCGTTGACCCACGGCAGGACGGGCGCTTTGGAACTCCGCCCGTCGTTCCCCCCTCCGATCTGTCTCTCGAGCCTTCTCTGCAGCTGCCCTCTGCTGTCTCTCCCCATCTCCTCTCCACCGTGCTCGCCATGCCACCGTCCTGTGCGCCCGACGGTATCAGCATTTCTTCGCCCGCTCCTTCCCCCGCGCCCTTCGCCCCGCACGTGCCCTGCTGCCCCATCTCTCTCTCGCCCTGTTTTGGGCGTCCTCCCCCCTGGCCGACTGCGCCCGTCTCATCTTCGCTGCGGTCCTCTTCCGAGCCAGCTGTCTCGCCCGTCTCCCAGCATGGCATCATCTCGCCTTCTGCCCCGCCTGTGCCCCCCCTCATGATTGAAACAGCGGCTTCCCGCACCATCGCGCCGTACTTCAAGGCGCCCGTGCACATGCCTGCTGCGGCCGTCGACGCCGTTCATGTTGTTTGCCCCTCTACTCCGTCATTTGAGGCCCCCCTGCTGCTGCCCTCTGCCGTCGCCCTCTCATCTTCCCCACCGTGCTTCCCTCGTCACCGCCCTTAAATCACGGCGCTGCCGCTTCATCTCTTTTCATTTCATACAGGTCGGATGGAGGCCCGTCGGATCTCCCCACCCCCCAAGATTTTAGAGTGGGCGCCTCGCTCACGTAGATGCTGACGAACCCCGCCTGGTACGCTGGGCTCCTCCTCCTCCTCCTCCTTCGCCCCCCCCCCCCCCCCCTCTCCGCTCCCTGAGCCTCGCCCTCTGCCCCCGCCCCCCCTCCGCGCCCCCTTCGGCCCGCCCCAAACGGCTCTCGTCGAGCAGTGGCCGAAGTGTCCTGGCTAACCTATAGGCCCACGAAAGAATGATCTAATAATCTCTTGTGGCCTGCGCGAACTGTTTTTCGAACACGTCTGGCTGAGGCTGTCTTGTTTGAGCACATCGGGTCCATGTTCTAACAGCATTGTTGTGCCCCAGAAGACATGTTGGGGATATCCGGAAATGTCGTGGTAGGCCTGCAGGAATGCCAGGACGGTCGGTCCCCGCCCAATCTCGGGCAACGGGAAATGGGGGGGTGACTTAGCTGGGGGGGGAGAGAGAGGACCCGAAAGCTTATAAAGGGGCCCTTGACGGCTCCCTTTTGGGCCCCTGCTGGTTCCAGCAGGGAGCCCGCAGGCTCTTTCCTGGGGCTTCCTCTTCACCCCCCTACAGTGAGCGGCTTGAGTAAGGAACACTTACTTTTCAAAAGGGGCTCGCTCGTTTCTTAGGCTAGCATGCGTTATTTACAGTTCCCTTATGCGTTATTTGTTATTTATCGTTCCTTGGGTAAAAAAAGGGCTTCGTTCCTTATTTATCGTTCCTTAGGTCAGGCCGATGACTATACAGGTGAGGTCACCCCGCATTGCCACCCGCCCGAGAATCGGGATTCGGGAGTCCATTCGGGCCGAAGGTCCAGAGCCCGTTTCTCTCTCGATGCCCGCTTGCTTCATGCCGAGCAGGGCCGCGATGGAGCCGGCCTGCGACGGGAGCGGCCCCGAGCAGGCCTGGCGGCCACGATCGGCTCCGCTCTCGGAACACTGAGTTGTGGGGCCGTGTCTCTGTTGCCGGAGGCCCCTTTGCCAAGAGTTGCCTGCCGCGGCCCGCAGCTGTGGTGTCGGGGGCCCCGGCCGCAGCTTGTGATGCCTGGGGTTAACTCGGGCCCGTCCCTCTACAGGAGGAAATCCAAAAATACTCAGAAAATACTCTGGGGACCATTTTTTGCATATATTTGATCATGTTGGAGCGTTTTCTTACCATTTTTTATTGATCGTCGAAAACCCCCCTGTAGGGGGATACGCCCGACTTAAGCCTGGGGCCCCTTGAGGCCGTAAGCACTCTTCTGCTGCTGGGAGCCCCTTGCCGGGCCGGGCCCCCGGGGCCGCCGGCAACAAAGACACGCCCTTGGATGGGAAGCGGGGGCGGGTCGAGGCCCTGCGGGGGCCCGCGCGGTGAAGACGCTGGTAACGTCGGACCTCTGGGGGGGGGGGCCGAGGGCTGGCGGCGGGCGCCGGGGGACGGCGCGAGTCCGAGGGGGGGCGGCCTCCCGAGATGGCGGGGGGGGGGTCTTCTTGGGGAGGCAGGGGCCTTCTCGGAAGCTGTCATCGTTCTATCGATTCACGTCCCGGAGCCGACCTCAAGAGCATCGCATGCGGAGAAATGAGGGATTCCCGAGGGATCACAAGGAATCTGATAATCCGTTTTCAGGATGAAGATTCTCCGGATTAATCGTCGATTTCCCAGAAAATATCGGAAAATATGGGAAGTGGGGGAAGACAGAAACCCAGAAAATATTGGAAAATATGTGGACTCTTCTGATTCGTGTGAATTTATTTAATCGCTTCGCTCATTCCGCCGGCCCGTATTGTGCCATCGCAGGCGTTTGCTTGCGCGTTCGTGGCCTCTTGGAGCCTCGGTGGGGCCCTGAGCTCTCGTGACGGTCTCTTGGGGGGCTTTCGGCGGGCTCTTGGCGGTATTTGTTGGTCCTCTTGGGGCCTGGGGCCTGACGTTGTTGGTCCTCTTGGGGCCTCACGGGAGCTTATTGGGGCGTCTTGGCGGTGTCTTGGAGAGTCTCTTGGGGCCTCTTTCGGGGTCCTGGGCGCCTTCTGGGGCGGAGGGCTCGATTTTTCAGTTCTCGGTTCCCTTCTTGAGCCCCTCTTGGGCCCGTCTTGGGGCCTCTTGGTCCGCCTTGGGCAGCACTTGGGCCGTCTGGGGGGCGCTCTTGGGCCGCTCCGGGGCCGTCTTGGGAGCCTCGTGGGCCGTCTTGGAGCAGTCTTGAAGGCCTCTTGGGCCCTCTTGGAGCGTCCGGAAGCGAAAAGGCCAGAACGCAAAAAAACATAGAAAAAACAATGAAAATCAACGATTTTGGCAACTTGGGGCCCTCTTCGGAGGCCTCTTGGAAGGCCCTTGGAGCGTCTTGGAGGCCTCTTGGGCTGTCTTGGGGCCATCTGGGGCGTCTTCGGGCGATCTTTGGCCGTCTCGGGCCTCTCTTGGACCGTCTAGAAAGCTTCTCGGGGCCCTCTTGGACCGATCTGGAGCCCTCTTGGACTCCGAAACAGAACTCCGGCATCTCTGACCCGACCTTGCCGGGGACTTGCCGGGGACTTGCCGGGACCTTGCCGGGGTACTTTTCGTCCGGGGACCCCCAGGGGCCGCCCCGCGCGCGCGAACTAGAAATACTGTTAACCAGGTACCGGAGATCTTAGCACGCCCTGGCCCGTTGGGCCGGCGAATTTGTGTGTCCCAGTTCCCCTTCAGATTCTGCGCATCTGCAGTAGCTAATGTCGCGATGGGTGGTCAAATTTCCTCCCGGCCTCTGAGGAGGCTCCTTACGGTCAAGACGCCGACGCAGGGACCGCGTTGGGGTTCGGAAGGGGCCCGCGGCTCCTCGGGCCACTCGGCGGTTGTCCTGCTGGCCCTCTGCGTGCGCCCAGGCGCTTCTGGCGCCACGAGCGAGGAGGAGGAGGAGGAGGAGGAGCAGGAGGAGGAGGAGGAGGAGGAGGGAGAGAGAGAGAGAGAGGGAGGAGGAGGAGGAGGAGGAGGAGGAGGGAGGAGGAGGAGGAGGAGGAGGAGGAGGAGGAGGAGGAGGAGGAGGAGGGGGGTTCGTTCCTTATTTGCGCTCCTTCTGGTAGCATCTCGATGGCAGAAGGCAGGGGGGCCAGGCAGGGGCCGTCTCGGAGGCCCTCCTAGCCTCGGAGGGCTCCTCCGAGGCCAACAGGGCCTCCTCCTCCTCCTCCTCCTCCTCCTCCTCCTCCTCCTCCTCCTCCTGGAAGGCCCGGGCCTTCCAGGGCCCCCCCCCCGCCGCCGGGTAGCTCGAAGAGCTTCTGGTCGAGCACGGACGCCTCCGAGCTCCCCCCGGGCAAGGGCTGCATGTCGCGCTGTCCCAGACCCCGAGAAATCTAGCCAAGCAGCAGAGCAGTCGTAGGGCGATGCTGCAATGCTGCTTTTTCGAGAACTGTGGAGACCCATGCCAAGAAGCACCCTGCTCGCCTCCAGGGTGCCCTGGGTTTCTTGGCTTTCGATCGTTCTGCGATGGAAAGCGTGACGCTCCCACGCCAAGAGTCCTTGGACGTCCTGGGGTCTCAGGGTTGTTGTTCTTAGTGGGAGGCTTCCAGTAGTCGGGCCCCCACTGTATAGCTCGAGCATCGCATCGGCGTCACCCCAACATACTTATACTATATGTTCGTCGCCCCCTCAGGGGCGACGCGCGCACCGAGAAATCTTATAGTATATGCGTCGTGGCGGGCGCTTTCTGGCCACACCGCTCGGGGAACGATTTACGGTACATCGACAAAATCTTGCACCACCTGGCGCTGACGATAAATCGCATCGCTGTTATATCAATCGTTTGCCCCCCCCCTCCCCTCCGATCTTAATATTGGATTCGGTCTGGGCTGGTCGAAACAGCTCGGTGGGTGCAACATTTTGTCGGAAGCCCCCGGGCGGAACAGGGGCTCTTCGCCATGCACCCAATGTGAAGATCGGGGGCAAGGGGGGTGGGCAAGAGCCATGCAGTACAGGTACAGGTGCCAATGCACAGCAAAAGTGGTGCAGCAGTTTGTCGATGCACGGTGCTACAGGGTGGATGCACTAGATGCTCGGGCCGGACCGCGCGCCTCCACGGAGGACATCTGGCATTCGTATGTCTCTGTGTGTCCCATCGCAGGCCCGAGCGCACGTTTTCCTCCAAAGGCGGCCCCCCTCGCACCAGCCCCCCCTCCCCGGCGCGCGGCACCCCGCCGAGAGACCCGGGACGCACGCGACGACCTCCGGCGTCTCTCTGCCGTGCGCCGCGCGCGGCCGGCCAGGGGCCCCGGCCGTGCCCCCCCAGACCTATACACTTATAGGTCGGGCGTGCACAGTCCCAAAAGAGTCACAGGAAGAGTCGAGGCACGATGTCTTCAGCACTGTCTTGACTCTGTGGGAGCATTTGGGTCCATCTTTCCCAAAAGAGTCACAGGAATAGTCGAGGCACGATGTCTTCGGCACTGTCTCGACTCTGTGGGAGCATCTGGGGTCCATCTTCTGCTTGCCGTCCAGATCCGCCTGTGGGAGGGCATGCCCGACCTGAGCCTAGAGACCCTGAGATCTTGGCGTTGCATTTTTTTCGCGGCGGGCGTTTTCGCACAGTTTCGGGCTCCGGGACCCTCACAGATCGATCCAGCTCGAACAGTGACGCAGAAAGATGGGGTTCAGGGCTCCGGTCGTGATTTCTGCGATGTTGCATTTTTTGCAGCGTCGCATCTCAGGACAGTCAAGACGCTGAAAGAAGGACCGCTTTGGGTTCGGAGGGGGCCCGGCGGACCTCCGGTCCCTCCGTGGCTGTTCCTTTTTAATCCTCCTCGTGCACGCTGGCGCTTTTGGTGCCAGAGAGGGGCTTCGTTCCTTACAGCCAGCCCGCATGGTAATTAAGGATGGGCAACCTTCCCAAGGGCACCCTGGCATCTTGCCCCTTCGGCCCAGCCTTAGCAGCTTTCGCTGGCCAACCTCGTTCGAACCTCCAAGGCCCTTGCATCCTCAACGCGCATCATTATGATAATGGAGGATGGCGATTAATAAATGACCGGGGGTCGTGTTCACGCGGCGGCGCCCAGGATGACGATTAGAAAAAACCGGCCGCGGGCTGGAAAACTATGTTTTAATCGTTCTCCTCCAGTCAGAAATTTGTGCAGAAACAGCAGACAACTATTTGTTAACTCGTTCTCTCCCATTTTTTATTAATCGTCATCCCGCATTACGGGCTGGCTGTATGTAGCGTTCCTTGTTTCCGCGGCCCAACCGGTGGGTTTTCGCCTTGGAGCCACTCTCAAGGGCCCCGGGCTCCGAGAGCGGGCCCCAGAGGCCGAAAGCGAGGAGAACAGAAGCGCCAGCACGTCACGAGCCACACGTGATGGGCCGATCGATTGTCCACCACCACTACCACAGGCAGGAGAGGAGGAGGAGGAGGAGGAGGAGGAGGAGGAGGAGGAGGAGGAGGCGGAGGCGGAGGCGGAGGCGGAGGCGGAGGTGGAGGCGGAGGCGGAGGAGGAGGAGGAGGCGGAGGAGGAGGAGGAGGAGGAGGAGGAGGAGACGGAGGACCTCCCCATCCTCCCTTCTCCCCCGTCCTGAACCACGGTAGCGGTGGTGGAAAACTGGCCCATCGATACCATCGGAGCTCCGGGAGAGGCCGCCGCCGCCTCGAAGTCGGTCGTGGAGGCCTGGGCCAAGAGCGTCGAGCAGCTCGGCGTGGGCGGCTGCGTGCTGCTCCCGCTGGCGTGGCCCGAGCGCGGCGGCGGCGGCCGCCTCGACGCCGTGCTGGCGCTCGTGCACCGGAGCGCGGAGGGCCTCGGCGAGCTGGCGGTCGTGAACCCTCTGGGCAGCGGGAGCGAGTACCACCCGAGGCTCGGGGGAGGAGGGGGAGGGGGAGGAGGAGGGGGAGGGAGGAGAGGAGGAGGGAGGATGAGAGGAGGAGGAGGAGGAGAGGAGGAGGAGGAGGAGGAGGAGGAGAGGAGGAGGTGGAGGGGAGGAGGGGGATGGAGGGGGAGGGGGAGGGGGAGGAGGAGGAGGGAGGAGGAGGGGAGGAGGAGGAGGAGGATAGGAGGAGGAGGAGGAGGAAGGAGGAGGAGGAGGAGGAGGAGGAGGAGGGAGGAGGAGGAGGAGGAGGAGGAGGGGGAGGTGAAGGGGGAGGGGGAGGAGGAGGAGGAGGAGGGCCCGAGAAAGCCCCAGAGCTTCCCAAGATGCCCCGGGGCAGCCCACGGATGAGCCGCCGACGGCACAAGAGGGGCCCAGCACGGCCCAAGAGGGCCCCATCAGCGCACCGAGGAGGGGCCCAGGAAGTCCTGAAGCGGCCCAGGACACCCCGGGACAGCCCTCGCATGGGCTGCCGGCAGCCCAAGATGGGCCCCTCACGCCCTTCAGACGGCCTGAGGAGAAGAACATACGGTTTTCCTTTGTGCGGGGGCTTGCTCAGAGGGGCCCACCTTGTGTCCAGCGGCGGCACAGGCTTGTGGGCCGCTCGTGTGGCCGTCTTGGAGGCCTCTTGGAGTCTCCTCGGCCTCTGGGACGCTCTCAAGGCCAAAATCAGGAGGGGAAAAAACACACAGACACAATCAATCGTCGATTCCCCCGAAAATATGGGAAAATATGGGAAGTGGGGGGGAAGACAAAAACCCAGAACATATGTGAAAATATCGGGAAACCTGTTATTTGTATATTTATTTGTGTGTCCCAGGGTCCCTTCACAAGAGAGGGCGAACGCTCGAGTCGCTCAAACACCGTGCGTCTCTCCGGTGATGTCGGCCTCCTCGGCCTGCCCCAGAGTCCCCATGACGGCCCTGCAGACTCCGGGAAGATTCCCGAGTGGCTTCCGATGATTACCCAAACCTCGACTCCAGATCCGCCGTACTTTGGTTGATTTTCCGGCGCAGCGCTCCGTCAGGAATGCACCCCAGACGATGCGAGAAAGTAGGGCGGAAGTGCCCGCCTCGGAGAAAGGGGGCGGGGATCGCTGCAAAAGCATGGCGGCGACAGCGACGGCAAGGTAGCGCGGAAATCGACGTCAAAGGAGCTTGAAGAGTAGAGCGAACGAGGAGGAGGAGGAGGAGGAGGTCTAAAGCACGGCGGATTCGGAGGCAGGATAAGGCCTCCAAATTTCCCAAGGTGGCCGGAGAGGCCCCAAGAGTGGCACAAGAGGCTTCGAGGTTCCGAGAGACCTCCGAGAGGCAGACATTGGATTGTGGAGGACGATCAATGGAGATGAAGCATGTTGCCAAATAGTTTCCAGATATCTAGAACATGTGTTAAAACTGTATTAAAATGTCAAGCAAAGTCAGGACATTTCCGACATGTCAAACACATGTTTCATTCGATGGTAGAACTGTTAGGGTGTCCACTGTCGTGGCATCCACAAACATAGGAGCCCGAGGTTGCCAATATCGCCAGAAGCCCATTGGGCATGGGCCTCGAAAGAAATTGGCGAAATCCTCCTCCTCCTCCTCCTCCTCCTCCTCATCATCATCATCATCATCATCATCATCATCATCATCATCATCATCATCATCATCATCATCATCATCATCATCATCATCATCATCATCATCATCATCATCATCATCATCCCCCTCCTCCTCCTCCTCCTCCTCCCCCTCCAGGAGGCAGACATAGGAGCCCGAGGTTGCCAACATCGCCAGAAACCCATCGGGCACGGGCCTCGCAAGAAATTGGCGGACACTCCTGCCACCCTCATCCGTCAACGCCCCCCCCCCGCCCAATGATGAATGCTGGCGGTGAGCTGGACGAGTTGCACTGCGACCGCAGCCTTCCCCGCGCGTGCCAACTTTGAGCTTTGCGGGGGACGGGGCGGATGAGGGGGTTCTGCGCCGCTCCCTTGCGCGACCCTCCGACGCCCCCACGCGCAGCCCGCATATGCGTCGCCTCCACACGTTACCCCCGGACGTCGCCCCCCATACCAGACGCCGCCCCAGTTTCGGCCCCGCCCTCCTCCTCGCCCTCCTCCGCCTCTCCTTCCTCCTCGCCCCCCTCCCCCTCCTCCTCGCCCTCCTCCTCCTCCTCCTCCTGCTCCTCCCTCCTCCTCCTCGCCCTCCTCCTCCTCCTCCTCGCCCTCCTCCTCCTCCTCCTCCTCCTCCTCCTCCTCCTCCTCCTCCTCGCGCTGACCTCTAGCACATGTCCGTATCACCTCGGGCCTCAGGCACACACACACACACACACACACACATTTCCGTCTGATGTCGGGCCGTGTTTGATGTCTCTCTGTCTACGGTCGGGGCGCTGACGAAGGAACCCTTTTCGTGTGGGAGGGGCTCAGTGTTCCTTGTTTTGCAGTTGGCCTTTGGTTTTCCTTAGGTTCCCGACGGAACATCGAATTGTGACTTAGGGGAAACAGGGGCCTCGTTCCTTATTTAGGGTTCCTTAGGGCAACGCCCCGACTGTACCGTATCTGAGGGTTCTAGCTCATTCGGGCCGTTTGGAAGGTGTTCCCAGGGACGCTTCGGACAGCCTCGGATGCCCCCCACCCATGCGGCGGCTCAGAAGGCGGCAACTTCCACGCCGCAGGCCCCAAGAGGCCGGCCGCCAGGAGAGGCGCACCCGACCTGATATCTGCCGGCTCCTCCTCTTTCCATCTCCTTCCTCCTCCTCCTCCTCCTGCCTCCACCCTCCTCCTGCCTCCACCCTCCTCCTCCTCCTCATCCTCCTCCTCCTCCTCCTCCTCCTCCTCCTCCTCCTCCTCCTCCACCCTCCTCCTCTTCCTCCTCCTCCTCCTCCTCCTCCTCCTCCTC